GTTTTCCATCTGCTTACTGAATTACTGCCCATGATCCCACAACGATGGAAATCAACCAGTCTTTTCAGGAGTCTGATTCAGGCCCAGTCCCCACCGCCCCTCTCCCTCTATCCACAGACGGTGGCCTGGCTCCTGCAGGGAACACTTCCACTCTGTGGTGCGAGGCAACATTTTTCTTCCCTGCAATAATTCACAAAGGATTCTCAGCCTCATTCTTTCCGTCCATTCATAGACGCTTATTATATACAAATGACATGGACTCTTAAATGTAGGGTAGGTAAGAATGGAGAAACCAGCTCGAGTGTGCTAGAATTTGAAAGTACTCAACCGAAAAAAATCTGCCCCTTCCTTCAGACTTCCTTACAGAGCCCCTCCTCCAACACACACGAACAGGGCAAGAGATAAGTTTGTGCACGAGATGGAAGGCTGACAGGCAGGTAGGTCATCCAATTATCTGCCGCAGGCCGAAGCAGTTAATTGGACTTGCTTGTTACAGCGCCACGACTTCCATACATGAAATATTTGTATATATTTATTGTCAAAGCATTTAATATCGGGATGTTAAGAGCATTCCATGGAATATAACAAAACGTGTTTCTGAAGTTACCTACCCTACCTTTAAGAACTAGGAGATGATTAATGTAACAATAATGACCCTATACCTTACCAGCAAGCACAGGCAAATAGTGTCAAGCCAAAATATTTTGAAGTCCAGTTTTTCATGTTAGGAATTGTAGTTGTTTAGTCTCCTTTGAAAAGAGCTTTCTCTGTTTCCTGTTTAATCTTTTTTTATTTTGTCTGTCCGTTGCAGGTATCAGCATGTTACTGCAACTGTTAACGCCATCTGGGCAGGGTTTGACTAGAAAATGTCACAAAACACAAATGTCCTGATCAAATGTCTTGTTTTGTCTGGAAACATTTCCAAATCCCAAACATATTTAGTTAAGTATAATATATGACTGAGAATCAATCAATCAATCAATCAATGTTTATTTATATAGCCCAATATCACAAATGTTACATTTGTCTCAGTGGACTTTACAGTTTGTACAAAATATCAGTATGACAATATGACACCCTCTGTCCTTAGACCCTCACATCGTACAAGGAAAAACTTCCAAAGAAAACCCACAGTTTAAAGGGAAAAATGGGAGAAACCTCAGGGAGAGCAACAGAGGAGGGATCCCTCTCCCAGGACGGACAGATGTGCAATAGATGCCGTGTGTAAATTGAAAAGATAATACATTTGCAACATAGGTAGTCCAAATGTTTGGAAATGCATGTGTGTATAATAGGAAGATGAATCCACGAGGATATCCATCCAGGACCTATGATCCAGGACCACAGCCACGACTCAAGATCCAGGGCTCGCGATCCAGGACAGAGGAGCGCAGGATCATCCATGACTCCGGATCCCGGCGTATATAGACACCAAAAAGAAAGACATTTGGGGAAGCTGGGTTAATCGGAACATGAGAGTACACAGGTATAGACAGAGAGAAGGAAGAAGTAAGATGTCCCCCGACAAACTAAGCCTATATCAGCAAAACTAGGGGCTGAATCTAATCAGCCCTAACTATAAGCTTTATCAAAAAGGAAGGTCTTAAGCGCACTCTTAAAAACGGATAGGGTGTCTGCCGCCCGAACACAAACTGGAAGCTGATTCCACAAATGTGGAGCTTGATAAGAAAAGGCTCTGGCTCCCATTGTACTTTTAGAGACTCTAGGAACAACCAACAACCCTGCATTCTTGGAACGCAATGCCCTAGTAGGACAGTAGGGTATAATGAGTTCTTTGAGGTAAGATGGCGCCTGCCCATTAAGGGCTTTGTAGGCGAGAAGAAGAATTTTAAATTCTACCCTGTGTTCTATAGGGAGCCAGTGTAAGGCAGCCAGAACAGGAGAACAACATCAAGTCTTCCCTTTTCAGAAAATAAAACCTGGAAATGTTTGAAATGTTTTCCTTTAAAGATTACTAAGGATTATTATTTGGTGACAACATTTTTCTTAACCCTTAGATGCATAAGTGAGACTTTTTTGCCCCCGTGAGGTGGTTTTCTTAGAGTATCTTTGTAATTACATTTTTTTATCATTTCATATTCGAGCTATTCCTCAAAAAACATGTTTTCGATATCATGCCATTAAAATGTTAAATTTACATTTTAAGAAATTGTAGTTTTCGTATTACTACCCCAAGCTTCCATAAGTGGGTATTTTTGGACCCGTTGAGGTGGTATTCTTGAAGTATCTTTGTAATTACATTTTTTTATCATTTCATATTCCAGATATTCCTCAAAAAACATGTTTTGGATATCATGCCATTCACATTTTAAATTTACATTTTAAGAAATTGTAGTTTTTGTATTACTACCCCAAGCTTCCATAAGTGAGTCAAAAATGACCCGCATGCATTTTCTATGGAATTATTTTTTTTTTATAAATAGTGAAAAATTAAATGTAAAATATTTCTAGTGTGAACCAAAATATAATACTAAATATGATATAATATATGCCAAAAATGGCATAAAAACACATATTATTCTAATAAGGGTCTTTTTTGACCCACTTATGGAAGAGTGTAGGGTCCAGTCACTTGTGCATCTAAGGGTTAATAGCAGCTCTGATATCTTTTAAGCTTATGTGCTGATCCTACGTTTCTTTTCCTAGCCTGATGTAAAGTATTATTCATTCCATGCCATGCTTTAACTAGACCGTCTGGACTTGAAAGTCCTTTTCATCTTGATCCAAATGTTATCTTATTCAGTTAAATAGGCAAAAAGGATATTCTGCATTAACTTTGGATCAAACCAGGAAATGAGTGTGAGACACAGGATAATTACACCACTCAGTTGACACCATTTGCTGCTAAAAGAGGAAACAGATGGTAATGGCACATTCATCCAATTCCCATAAGAGACAAAAGAGGAGTGAAGGTGTAACAATGGGCTTTACAACATAAATCAACACATACAATGGAAATCTGGACCTTCGTGTTCATGATCTATTTGTGTCTGAGAAAATGTGATGCCAATCGTGATATTTTGTTCCCCTTATCAACATCATTACACTCCATCCAGTGCGGTAGAGAGCCACTATATTTCATAGCCTCTAATAATTTCACTTCCCATGAACTGACAGCCTGTATAGACGCCGGCAGCATATGCAAGAAAGAAAGAAGATATGGATTACATAGAGTGAAAAAGGCAAGAAATGTGCAGAGTCTTAACTGTTATTAAGCATTCAAGGTCAAGGTGTGGTCTCCACACATTCACGGCAATAAAGGCAGAGTGTTGATGAAAAGGAGACACTGAAGATGGTGGGAATCTAAGGCTGCCTTTATGCTCATCATTTCCTCCTGTAGGATGAAGGCAGAAGGGAGTCAGGGCAGGGAATCAAAAGCCCCAAAAACAGCAGCATTAACTATTATCTGCTGATGGGAGGGTGAAAGTGCAGATGGCGAGGCTTGCAACACTCCAGTTGACAAACTAAAAAACCTGCGCCATGTACATTTCTGTTGACAGCCGTAGTGAAGCGTCCCTGTTCCATTCAGCTCATTGAATTATCTATGTGAGATTGAATCCTTCATATGTCTCAGCCCACTCCTCTTAATGATCTTTTCCATTCAGCTCTGGACAATACACACTCTGCTTGCATGAGTTTGATGTTGCTTCTTTCACAATGAGTTATACATACAAGTGTTGTAGTGGCCATTAGTTGTTCCACTGCCAGTGAGGAATATAAATATCAGCCAAATTCCAATGAAAATACCAAGTCAAATTATATCAACATCATCAAGCTTTAAACTGTGTCACATTCAACCGCATTGCTATCGGGTGGAAGCAGCCTACAATGTAAATACATTATTATCAATATTTGTGCCTTATTACCCTGTTTTTATGTATTACAAGGGTAGCATTATGCCTGTGTGCATGGTGTGTCAGTGACAGAAAGACTCTAACAGGCCCATGTCGTTTTAGCCTTTGGACACAAATACCCAAAGGCACTCTAATTTTAACATTGCGTAAACAACCAATATAAGTCAAGGAATTAAGCAGACATTTGAAAGGGTCTGTGTCATTTCTATAAAAAGTTATTTATGTTTACCCCTCTGCTCTTCTCTTTCAATCTCTCTGATGTGTTACTAATTTAAACAATTGGATGTATTTGGATAATGAATTTTACATTTTGAAAAATCACCAGTTTATTTCTTATTACAAAAATAAGAAATTGCATGATTTGTTGCCTTTAAATCTGAAAAAAAATGTCTCCTTGAGGTAATTACGCTTATTTGCACTTAAAACATGCAAAGAAAAGCCTACAATTTGAGATTATAATGCGAACTTGTTTTTATTTAAATCAATAAGAAGCCTTTTACAATAAAACCATCCTCATCATGATGTAAACTTGTAGGGGAGACCCGCAATCCAACATCTGTGTGGAGCAGCTCCTCTGGATGTCATCACAGATTCAGGCTGATGGGGTTTTGCTCCCAAATATCGACTAAATTACCTAAAGGTCATGTAAGTGTCGCGGATTCTTTTTAGGTTAAAGTGCCGCTGTGAAATAACTGATCTGTAACTTTAGGTCACAATGTAAACCACCACTACCAGGTGCCTTTAAATGTGATTGAGCAATAGCAAACTGCAGAAAGAGCGTGTCGCAGGAGACTGTGCTGTTTTGGGAAATGGGAGCTTTCCCAGAACACCCAGACGCTGTCCTCCTAAATAATAAGCATGCTGAAGAAAACTTATCACTTCAGTTCACAAAGTTATTATGAATGTGTTTTTAATTTCTGTTGAGAGAATTAACATTGTGCGTTATCAGTAGGCAATGGGAAACAGCAGCCAGCCGCAGATTCACGCAGCAACGTGTTTTGGAAAGGGGACACAAAGTTGGAACCTTCACCGGACTCGCTCCACTTTTGCTCTCAGTGGAGTTTTCATCCACATGTTAAAACTTCCCAACCGGGTTAAGCAGATCGAGATGAATTTGCTCCTTACCTGTTGGCCCCTCGATGCCATCGGCGTAGATCTGAACAGTCAAAATCAACAGAAAGGCGCAGGTGTTCATCGTGTAGCTGTTTTAGTCCACTTTAAATGTGTAGAAGAAATCATTTCATTCACTCCGTGAGGTCCGGGCGCGCGAGCCGAGCCCATCTACTCCCCCAATTCTCACTGAGAGGAGTTTCAGAGACACCGAAGGAGACAGGGCAGAGCTAGTTCTGCAAACTGACGTCAGGGTAAACAGTTCAGGGAGAGATTTCTTTCTCAAGCACACTTTCCTTCTCAGCTGCCGCTTATTCGCTGATCCAAAGTATGAGCAGGGCGCCTCCAAGAGGCCGCAGTCGGAAAGACACCGTGGTGTTCAGAGCCAGGTCCCAAACATTTATCTCCACAACATTTCAGGGTAAATACTTGGTATTTGTTAACGTAAAAATGTAAGTTTGTTGTTGCAGTGGTAGGGGTACGGGCAGGGCCGGCCCTCGACATAGGCAGTATAGGCGAATGCTAAGGGCGCATCAACCCATAGGGGGCGCCGAAAAAGAAAAAGAAAGTTAGAAATTTAAAAAAAGTTGAACCGCCCCAGCCCCAGTAAAAACCAGAGGTTTATGTGAAATAGTTCTTTTTTGGAAATAATGGTTTTAGTGGGCAATTATAGGTTTTAATTTTGTATTTGTGTTTATTTAAAATAAATCAAACTCCCAAAAAACGTACACAGCTTCTGTGTGCTTTTATTAACATTGGAATTTACTGTGTAAGCGGCCGCCGGGGGGGAGAGCTTTAGAGAGCTCTCTCCTGAAAGACTGAGAGGCTCTGATAACCTCAGCTCAGTGAGGTAAAGGCTCACCTTTATATGATCATTATAGTTATGAAAAAATAAGAGAGAGAAAATATCCATAAAGAAAAAGAAAATCTGTTTACAGTTCTGTTTCATCTGGTGTTGAGAGATGTATCCATAGATCTCCTAATGTTGCTCTCAAAGTGCACCAGATTGATGCTTTTAACTTCAATATTTAAAAAAAACTCTTACCGGGGGTGCATGCCCCCGGACCCCCCTAGAGGAGGTGAGGTCCCCCCCCCACTTAAAAAATCATGTTCACATGGATAGGAAACTAAATACAGTTGCAGTTGTGTCAATATCTTTGTTTTGGTGGTCATGCCACAACCGCGCACGTGCGAATCATAGTGAGTGTCTGCATTTTGGGGGGGGCGCCAGCTAAAATCTTGCCTAGGGCGGCAAATTGGTCAGGGCCGGCCCTGGGTACGGGGAAGTCTCCAGGAATAAATGTTAGTTAATAGCTCTTAGTGTGCTATTTGGGATGTGACAAGCATCTATTTCCCTTTATATATACAGTCTATGCTATTTCCATGCCTTTTCTTCCATTTAAGGTTCATATTTATTTGGCATTACTTAATATACACTGTGGACAGCTCAAATAACCTGTCACCATGCACCCACAGGGACATTGTTATCAGTCTGACAACAGGTTGAGAAAATGTTCTAAATTAAAGTCAGCTACAGCCCTTGTGATTAACACATAACCCCTGTAATGTGAGACTTTTGTGTTAACAATCATTATATAAATGCAAATAATATGAGCTATCTGTGTCATATTAGCGCTTTTTTACAGCTGATGTTAGCCATATATTCAGACAAGCTTCACACCTCCGTGTGACAGGTGCAAAGCATATTTCTCCATAAATTAGAGTCTGACATGTAGTGTGCATTGAATTTGCATTTGATCGGGTCACTGTTTTTAGCCATTGCAGGCATGTTTGCTGCAATGTTTGGAGAATACCTGACACTCTTTTATGTATTGTACAGTGTTGTGCAGTGATGGAGTGCATCTGAAGTCCTACTGAAATTATGTAAAAAAATATGGTGTATTTATATTTAACCTCAGTATTTCCATTTTCTGCTATTTAATATCTCTGCTTCACTCCATCTCAGAGGGGAATATTTTACTTTATACAGTGTGTCACTACACATATTTGACAGATTTAGCTGCTGTAATAATGTAACTACTATTTTTCAACATCCAACTAACAAATGTTGATTTAATATTAGCAAATATATAAAATAGTAAAATATCTGAGTACTTCTTTCATCACTGCTGTTGGGAAAACTAAATCATACAGCAAGCCAATGTGACTTTGATATTTGAAAATAATCTGGCATGTCGTAATCTTATATTTATATAATGTTTAAAAGCATCAAATGTGTACTTGATCACAACTTGTCGGACACATGTCAGATGCTGCAAGGTGCCCTCCTGTATATCATTACATCATTACACAGGCTCTGAGATTACCTTTGAAATTGTTTTACAAGTGCTGACTCTGCAGCCACGGCTCTGCGTGAACCAAGCGGGTGCTAAAACATGGCCGGGCTGACACGTTTAGTTATGGATCCAAGATTCACAATTGGATCAAGAAGCCATTATGCATGCTATTCATCATTCATTTTGTTGTCCTGTGGATTTAATTACAGGGGCAACAGACGCATCGAAGGCTCCCAACATGAGTGCACACATCTTAGTCTCTAATGTTATTAGCCCCCAATGACAGATGAACGATGCATTGCTAAGCAAATTACTTACTTTAACCAAAGGAGCACAGCGTATGTCAAGCTACCACCTGTAATTACACCTCCTTGATGCATGGCAGCCATTTTGCACGCTGTTATTCAAGACACCGCGTAGCAATTTACTTAAACTAGGGAGTGCTTTGGCGTGAATCTATTCAACTGCATGAAAATGTAATATGCAGCAAACCAAACAGGATGTTACAAAAGTCTGTTCAAACCAACAACAGAACAGGCATCAACACGATGCTGACAGCAGCACTACCATGAAAGAAACGTTATCGAGGATTTCATCAGCTGCCACTCATGACCCTACACAAACAACTCCGTCTGCACAGGCAGCGTTGTGCATGAATTTATAATAACATATTATTAGTTCTGAGGGAAGATGTCAAAGGCTGGCTATCAAACCATCACTGTCTATCATACGCAGCTTTTGCATGCAGCATGGCGCTTTCAAAGTAAACACCACTATCTGAGAGCTACACACCAAACAGTGATACCACAAAAGTCATTTTCAATCATGTGTCAAATAGAAAGATATTGTTAGGATCACTGATTGATGTGTGAGCGCAAGTCTGAGGTGCTTTTAAGGTGAAACCGAAGAGCAGCAGTTCCTCCAGTGTGTGGTTTACAGCTGAATTACTCTTTAACTTTCTATAAATGGAACCATTGTAAAAGGTATTGACGTCAGAGGTTTGCTGAACCTGATGTGAGAAAGATGAGGAGATGAATAAAACCTCTTGGAAAACAATGAATATGTGGCTAAGTAGACGAATAAACAAAATGATCTGTTTGTATAATGTTGTGGCCTTGGCCTTTATAAAATATAAAATATCAATAATAAAGGATTTTATTTAAAATGTGTGCATTGTCTTACAAGTTCATTTTGGACCATTCCTTTTCATCATAATCTCATGCGCATAATTTATTTGTGTTTCTATGATGAAGAGAAGGGGAAAGTCATTTAAAAAAGAAGAGGTATTTTCTGCACGTTAATAAAGTCCTGTGTAAAGACACAATACGTCAACAGTCACAACACTTTATATGCAGTTCTTCTTTATATGTAGAATACATTATTCTGAAGAATAATGACTCATTGTCTGGTGCATTCATCTTAGGCAGGCCTTACGCATTATAACAAAGGGCCTAATACAAGCCTGAGTGAGATATATTTCACAAACATCCAAATTATCTAAAAGTCAACAGACAAGTGTCACTCACAAAATGTTTAATTACAAAGACTATTGGAAATAAGTTATAAAAGTAAGAGGAAAGAATTGAAAAAGTTGCAAATTACTTTTAGACGAGGGGAAATGTTTCCATCAATGCTCATAAATAGAACAAAATATCATATTCACAGATATGAGAAGCATCTTGAAACTTTACTAAATGTAGACATACTTACAAAGAGTACGGTTATGTATATTCAATAGACAAGAAAGGTGTCTGTGTTTTAGGGATTCAACTGAACAATATTTACACTATCACTAAACTGTTGTTTATTTATTGCTGTTTAACAACCCTTAGTTTATCAAATATGAGAAAATAGTAATAGAAAATGCTGATTGCAAATTCCTAGTGACCTAGGATGGCAATTCTGCTGACCAACAGTCCAAAACCCAAAGGTAAGACCAAGAAAGCCAACACATATTCACATTTAAGACACTGTGAGTTCTGGAGGGTTTTTGCTTAGATAATGAAAAAAATAATCAATTCTGATTTCAGTCCAATTCAGTCTCTTTCGAGATGTTTAACTGTAGACAAATGTGTCCAAAACTCTCTACTTGATCACATATGTGTCATTACATCTTCAATGAGCAAATATGTGCATGTAACACTGTTGCAGTTACCGCAGTATGCACATATTTTTATGTATATGAAAATACAAGAAAAAAAGCACTTTGACTGAGTAACATTGTATAGTCTGCAGCTATCAGGCAAAAGCCCTCATTTAGTCCAGCATCCCTTTGGGGTCGTCTGAATCTCTCTCTCACTTACTTTTATGTTTTTTAGACGACTTTCTTCCTATGACCACTTTTTTAATATCATACAAGCCTTCTTCTTTCTCTACGACCTCACTTTTAAGGTGAGGGTCTTGATATTTAACCGTCCTCTGTGCAGGCTTTTTGTGAACCCCTGAGGAGTCTTCTCCCTCCACGCCATTCTGTCCCAGCATGGCATCATGGCCGTCCCTGTCCTTCATGACAGCTCCAGAATGGTGACGCTGGCCAGTGGAGGCAGGGAAATACGTGAAATACTGAGGGTTGATGGTGAGCTGAGCGTGAGGTGCTGCAGATAAAGGCTGGATTGATGTCTTTGTTTTGACAGGGGACAGCAGGTTGTGGGTTTGGCTGTTTGACGGTGTGTGACGTTGAGGTGGTAGTTGTTTCAAGGACAGCGTTTTGTAGGAAGGGCTTTTATCACATCCCTGCTTCCTCCGCTCCTCCAAAATCTCATTGAATGCTAAGAAAGAGCAGGAAATAGGTTAATTGAATCCACTGGGATATCACTGTATGCACCATATGTTGCATTCAACATTTTTCTCACCATAGATATTGTTAGGGAACTTGTTCTCTTCATCCTGGCTTTGCTTCAGGTCCAGAGCTTGTTTTATTGAGTCTAAAAGGCCGAACATCTTACACAAGGAATTGAGTATGACGGCATCTGACAAAACACAAACAGAAAGAGTCATTAAAATGGCTGAAATTATTTGAAGGTTTGTCCACATTACCTCTAACAACTTATTTTAAACTTGACTGACATTTGACTAAATTAAAAGTTATTTCCACAGTCCAGCGGTTAGACAGGTCCCACTGTGAGAACTCACCGTTATCCTGCAGGTTGGCCTTTTCACTGCGAACCTCCACTCCTCTAAGAGTGGCTAATAATTCAGTCTGGAGACTGGACAGGACCTTTCCCATCAGCCCCGCGTCTGCCACACCCCTCCAGAGGCCCAGGACTCCATCTAGAGAAGGTCAATTAGGTGAGACATTATTATGATATGTGGGGAACTCTGTACGTGTTTGTCTTCTCATATAAAATGACAAAGTGCCACAGAGAAATAAGAGAAAGCGGAATCATAGAGGTGATTTGTGTATGGGTGAGATGCTGAGAGTAAAAGAGATTGGACACAATGGGAAGAAAAAGGAAAGCTAGCTAAATAAGAAACGTTGGATAAATTATACCAGGTGTTGGAGGCAGGGAAATGTCTCGAAGGAAGATTTTAGAGAGTTAAAGGTTAAAAAGAGAGTAATACATTGAGAAGGCAAATATAGGATAAAGTGTCAGGGTTGGGGAAACAATGAAAAAAGATATAAAGAGATAGAGGAAATGGGAGAGGCGCAGCGCTTCGAGAGAGGATGTTAAATGGGTGATAGAGGCAGAGAGGAAAGTGCAGGGAAATGGGTTAGAAGGGGGGGACTGAAAAATGACTTGGGGTCGGTACAAAACTGAGCCAAATAGAAGTTGAGTATGTTAAAGTGATAAAAGAGGTGCTTGATATCTTATCTTATCTTGAAAGAAATGCCTCCACTTTCATGTAGGCTTAAGTGTATGTCAAGATAAATGCAATGCACCTAAGGACATTTTCCCAATCCCATTTACAGCTATCTGAACATACATTCACATATAACTCCATGTCGCAAATGTACACTAATGGAAAGAAACACATTTGTGGAGATAGAGGAGCGTAGTTATAGAATAAATACATTTCTTGAGAGTTGTCAGTTTGTTTTAAACCCTGTGACAAGCAATACCGCTTGTGCAGTGAAGCACTGCGATTTACCATTCACACCGAAGTAGGGTCAATGCCTAATCAGGTCACCTTTAAAAGCCCTTAAATCAAAGCTTAGGTCCCTCCTAGAAAAGCTGCGTATAAAAACGTCAGGTGCCGTGGGTAGTAATATAAAGAGATGTGTCTCTCTGCCTGTTAGTAGTCAGCAACTTTTTAAGGTCAGTCTGCAGGAATGGCAGAACACCCTACAACTGCAGTTTCAGAGCTTTCATTTGCCCAATGTATCACAGGTGTCAAGCCGCAGAGGCTGCACGAAGCGAGACACAAGGGACTGCCTATAGGCGGATGTTAATGTTCACATTTGTCATTGTGTCTCTGCTGGGTTTCTGTCATTTAATAAACATGCAATGACAGTTGATATTTGAGTTTAAACCCTGCGCTTCCTTCCCTAAACAGCCAGCCAGGACACACAGTTGCACATTAAGGGCCATCCCCTTTAAAGGACATGACTCACTAATGCGTGGCCTCTGGAGGACTGAAAGTCAGCGAGCTGAGCCTGTCTCCTCCAATAATACAAAGGCATCTTAAAACTTTCCAAATGTACCTCCAGGCTATTGACCTTGAGGTCAGCTGACATTATTAGAAGTAAATGTTACTTCCATGACTTTAAAGGTGGAGGTTATAACATGACTTTAATACCACTGAATTACAAAGCTTTAAACAGAATGTGTGGCGCCTCCTATTAAAGTCAGAGTAGAGCACAGCAGGTGAATAGTTTCCTGCTGTGTAATATATTCAGCAAGCATCAAATTGTACATGATGACTGCTAAGTAAGGCAGCAGCATAAGAGAGCACTTATTTGCTTGTTTGAGTTTTGTCTGTAAATGTTCATGGATTCAGCCAAAATAGTCTATATATATATATATATGTATTCCAGCATATTCAGAATCTTTTTTCTCCACACCATCTCCCTTATTTCATTCAGGCTTCCTCATTTTATATAAGCAGCCATATATCCTTTCATATATTCATTACCAGGTGTGTCAGCCCTCTTTCTCTTTGCAGCATGCCCGTTGGCGGTTGTGTGATTTACATCCCGGGCTGGACATGGGCTCATCTCTGCTGTTGCACTGAACTTTTCCTCCACAGGCTCCTCTACCTCTGCTGCCTCGTGCACAGCTTCAGCTGAAATAACTGCAAAAAATAATATATTGTATGTAAATAAAGTGTTTAAACATCTCATATTATCAGACATGAGTAGGCATTGAAAAAATGCCAAGGAAATCCAGTAGTTTGTTATTGTTATACTTGTTCTGTGCAGTATCAGTAAGAAGGTATAGAGATAGATAGAGAGAGAGAGAGAGATAGAGAGAGAGATATATATAGAGAGAGAGATATATATAGAGAGAGAGAGATAGATAGATAGATAGATAGATAGATAGATAGATAGATAGATAGATAGATAGATAGATAGATAGATAGATAGATAGATAGATAGATAGATAGATAGATAGATAGATAGATAGATAGATAGATAGATAGATAGATAGATAGATAGATAGATAGATAGATAGATAGATAGATAGATAGTCTTCTCAATAAAACATCTTTGCTAATGTCTTCTGGCCAATCAGAATCACGATAACGGCGTGGTGTTGTTGCAGGAAGTCCCGACGGAGAATAATTTTGCGGTAGAACTTCTCTTTATATATCCATGGATACAACGTAATGAAATAAGACCTCATGATCTGATGATTGATAGGTGTGTGGGCTGTCTTTCATTTTGACACACAGAACAATGGGGGCTATCCACCCTTATCCACAATGTAAAGTTATTCACACAGCCTCTTCCCTCTTCTCTCTGTGAGGAGCAGCAGGTTCAGCTTTCAGAACAAAGTAACACAAAAGGCTTTCATTTTTTAAACATGTCGTGTAGTAATAGATGTATTTATTTGCTTCTCAAGAGAGCACCAGAATGTGTATTTTATGTTAGTATTTCAAAAAGAGAATCCCCCCAGACCCCCCTGCAGGGGTTGGGTTTTCAGCATGTCAACTCTTTCACCTGTGGGGAAATTGCAGAATTGGCTCCAGGTCGCTCTTTTTAAAGACAAATGTGCCTTTTTATTTCATGCAGTTCAATTTGGATTTAGACAGGGAAATAATCTAAACCTCACGCGTGGCGTTTCACTGTCAAGGGGAACGTGTACAGTGTATGTAATTACATTGCAAATAGATAGATAGATAGATAGATAGATAGATAGATAGATAGATAGATAGATAGATAGATAGATAGATAGATAGATAGATAGATAGATAGATAGATAGATAGATAGATAGATAGATAGATAGATAGATAGATAGATAGATAGATAGATAGATAGATAGATAGATAAGATAGATAGATGATAGATAGATAGATAGATAGATAGATAGATAGATAGATAGATAGATAGATAGATAGATAGATAGATAGATAGATAGATAGATAGATAGATAGACCTGACTGCTCTTTATGTTCAGCTCATTTCCTTATTCCTTATTGTCCTTGAGCTTGAAGACTTGTTAGAAACTAAAGAATCCGATCCAGGTGAACAGTTTGTGTCTCAATGCTACAATAACAAAAACGAGCCAAAGCATATCAAACTACCAATGCCAACTGAAATCTACCTGTCAGAGGAGGCACCTGTCCTCCAACAAGGTCAAGAGCCAGACACGTCGGGCTCGGCTGCACTGCTGTCCCCAGAGGAAGCCGCGTGCTGTTGATCAGCACATCAAATTTAGTGCTGCGGCAGGTGTTGCTGCACACTGTGTCATGTTGGTAGAAATCTATCTGGCCGGAGTCCATCATTTTCCTATGAGGGGGAGAAGCAGGTTAAAAGAACAAGTGCGGATTGAATTTGTTGAACAATCTCGATAACTTTACAGAGGTTTGTTTGACACAAGGCCCATTGATCTGACCTCTGGAGGAATAAAGATGAAAAGAGAAGATATTGAGTCTGTGTATTGACACACAGTAACACCAGGAGCAAGTGCAAACACGATAAAGGGGTGAGAAGTTTCACTCAGCATCTTGCTTGCATGTGATTTGATCCTGCTACCATAATAATGCTGCTTACCGACTGCCTCTGGAATGTACTGGCAAACCCCAACTCAGGCAGACTCGGTGCAAGTGTAAATTATATGAATGAGATAAGATGTTGACTTCATTAGATTGAGTTGAAGTCTGACACTTTAACCCCAATGCAACAGAGTAAATAAAGGTCATGCAGATTTAGAGTTAGCACCTGTCAGCAGCTATGAGAAGGAGGGCAGACAAAGGGTGTTTTTAACTTTTTTTTCACAAGAGTACCTGAGCATTACCCCTCCTAGTCTGATGGCCCTTTTCCAGTCCTTCAGAGTGGCTTTCCCTGCCAGATGAACAAACTGTTTTGGACTGATGAGCTGGTCGTTGAACTGGAAAAGCAGAGGACAACATGTTCATGAATGCTTTTATAAGCATAAGACAAAATCACATAAAACTGAGAAAATGTGACGATGATCATGTTGGTTGAGCGAGGAAGGTTTAACTTACTTTGACACATCTGACGTTGATTCCAGGGCACACAAACTTTTTAAATAGCAGAACCGCTTTGCTGTCTCCGCACGTGATGGGGTAGCCATACTCGATCTCCTCTCCTTCTGCTTTACTGTCTGAAGATCACAAGTCAAAAACACAACCACTTGCAGAAACTTTGTGGAACTTTATTATACATCAACAGCAAAGCATTCAGTAATCATACAATAAGGTATACTATACTGTATCAACAAAGTAGGATGCCTTCCTGCACGGCATTCACACTGTTATGTTGTAGTTTAATGTCAGCAGTATAAAGGGACATTTCTCTGTGTGACATACCATGATGTGTCTCTATGGCCAAGACTGTCGTGCCAGTGTCAGCAATATCCTCATTTATCCTACAGAGGGCGACAACATCCTCAAATTTAACAGAAAATTATCATCTAATACAAGCTGAGAGTTGAATAGATCTCAATTAAACAGCAGAATGTGTGCAAAGTTCATTCATATCAACAGTTCATAAAATTGTAATGCTTTTTTTGTATTTCTTCAACTAGAATATTGATATCTTATTTGACTCAAGCCTGCCCTCAACTGGATATAACAACATGCATGAAGAATAATGTAATAATATTTGATTGGAAAAAATCATGCTTAAATCAGCTTAAAAACTTCATACAAATGTGTCTATATGTGTAAAAATGCCTCTCTATTGTGTCTATCTACAGGGCCTTTAAGAATATAGGCCATGTTACCCATGGAGGATGGGATGCAGGTGCAGGATGACTTGAGTCTTATGGTTGTTGCCACTGGACTCCCCTTCCTCCTCCTTCACCATCATGAGATCCCCTGAAGACACAGTGACCTCAGCAGCCGCCATCACCCCTCCCCGCCGAGCTGCACGCAGAGAGGGCAAATCACGCATGTTAACATCCAGATCACACACACACACACACATACACACACACACATACATGCATTGTGCTATTTAATGCACACACAAGTCAACAAAAGCCTCCCCCAACGGGCTTTTCTGGCATGCAACTGTCAGAGAAATGAATCCATACTGGCCGGGCTTAGAATTATATAATCCTCACATACTATAGGCAGGCCTTGCTTCTTATGCACAATGTGCATAAATAATATTCAAAATAATGGACAAAAGATAACATGTTATACTTAAACCTATATTTAGTTAAACCGTAGTAAACTGGTTAATAAAATGGTAAAGCAATATAATTGTCCAAATGCATTTACAGCATGTGTTTTGTTTTTTATTTAGAGGGAAATTCTCAAATATAGCCAGCATCTATTTTTTCCAACCTTTTTGCATTTAGGCCGCTTCTTTTGTCGCAAGGATGGTCACAAAAGGCTCAACGAATATGAACCAAATGTTGTCAACAAGTTTTAAAAAACAAATCATTAAAACGTGATAAAAACAGGGACAACATGTGTAACCTGTGTTCCACTCCTTTGACGCCACTGGTGTTATAACAAGGCAGTATAGTGTACTTGATCTCTTCTTCTTTATATCTGTTATGCTCTCCTGATAAAACACAAGAGGACCGTTATTGGTAAACTGGTTTGTGAACTTCTAAAATTAGCACATTCTTTAATATGAAAATCATAAAAAACGAATTCAGCTATGTGAGATATTTTCAGGAAATACACCGAATGTATTTTATATTATATACAGCTAGATTAGACACTTATATAACGTTTGAACTTCAATTAACAACTTACATAAACAGTGTCAGATAGACACAGCTTAGAGCCGCATGCACGTACTCAACAGACAAAGCATCACACATGAACACACACACACACACACACACACATACATACATACATACATACATACATACAGACATACACACATACATACATACATACAAACATACATACATACATACATACATACATACATACATACATACATACATACATACATACATACATACATACATACATACATACATACATACATACATACATACATACATACATACATACATACATACAAAAAACTATAAAAGCCGAAAATAATTAGAAGAAATGTTTTGGCTTAATTCATATTTTATGTTAACCTGTAACAACATGGTAATTGGGAATTACTATAAAAGAGGTCAGTTCACTCCCCAGCAACAGACACAAAATAATGAATAACACACTGTTGGTGCATTAGGCCTAGTATGATTATATCCATGATAATATGTCGGTCTTTAACAAGCAGCAGCTGAGGTGTTAGTCATAGGCGACATTAAGCACATATAGAAATAGTGCAGATATGAGCAATTGTCAGGTTAATTTAACGGTTATAAACTAAAAGCAACTTTTCCATGCAGCAAAAAACACCATCTATTTTTAAACTATACCAATAAGCCACTGTTGGATCAACAACTCCTGCACGGACAGTTGCGTGCCTTCCTCACCCTCCTTCACCATCACCACACTGACGTCTGTCGCTGCGGCAGCACGCACACCCCGAGAAACAACAGTGCGACGGCGCGCACTACTGTCCCACAGAGGGTGCACAAAAACTCACCGGGTCTGCACAAAAACTCTTCACCAGACTGTCTGCTACTTTAAAGAGTATTGTCATAGTTTAACTTACCGTTATAGCAGGAGATAGCTCATCCTCTTGCTTGTCAGAGAGAGGGGAGCATGCGCCGTGCTGCTCTGGTACACTTCCTGCAGTGAATGCAGCATTTGCCTGAGAAGCATCTGTCCCGCTGTCACGAGAAGCGGTTAGTTCGCACGCGATGTGTAAATCGGTCAAATTGCTCGTGTGTGCAAGCGCGCGGCTTGATTTGAGCTACTCTCTCTGAGCCTTACCGCATGTGCTGAACGATTTCAGGGTTAGAAACATATTTTTACCCCAAAGGATGTCGAGATTATATTTTTTGTATCTGACGGTCACATCCACACTACGTTGCTTGACCTTGTACACTTGTGTGGCCTAATTAAATGTTGTTTGTCATGCAATAAACGCTGTTTAAAACAGTTTGGTACTGTGTTTTTGTTATTGCCTGTTATTCACCAGCAGATGGCAGGCTTTGCACTTATTTCAGTAAAGTAATGTAGGCTACAGTAGGTGTGTCAGTAAGTCACAGACAAGATAAGGGAAATGTTGGTTTACCATAAAGATTATAGACACTAGAATGCATCATTATTCCTGTTGATGTTATTAAACAGCCTCCCCAGAAGAACATGCCAATCTGATCCAGGTTCAGTCTTGCCATTCTGGCAAACAAGAGTAAATCGTCAGTATTACTGCCGACGGCTGGTCTCAGATCAGCACACACCTACATCAGCCCACCCCTATTTGGGGATGGAATGTTAGGGATTCTAAGATTGACACTTGTAGGGAACCAATGAGATGTCGAGTTTACGCTTCGTGGCCAATGGTAGACGTCCAGTACTTTGTACTATAACTTTTACTGAGGCCAGAAGCTCGAGCCAGCGGGGCTTGCACCTTACTTTTTCACGCCGAGCTCTGGAAATCATGCTTGTAAAGTGCGAAAACATCCGGGATGCTGTGAAGTCTCTTATTGCCGGTTTCTGGATCACTTTTAGCGTCTGTTCCGTAGGTGTTCACGGCCAGGAGGGTGAGAAAAAACGATTTTCTTTACGCTTTTGATAAGATAAAGAATGAGACGCCAGACTTAATTTATAACACCTTGTTAGCTATAAGGCTACTATGAATATGCTACTAACACTATTACTAGTCATTATCACAATAGCTAATAACAGATACATTGCAATAATGATTAGTAGTGACTGTTTTAGAGCATTGTTGTGACAAGCACCAATGACCAACAGGTTTTAACACAACCCTTGCATTTTACCTGAGCTAACCTTGGTCCCTTTCATTGACACTGCTGTCTATTACATTTTCAACATCAACAACTATTCTGCTAACTGATACCAGCATTATAGGCCTGTTCTCGGTGACATGTCCTAACAGTTATATGTTCTTCTGTCAATTCTACTTTTACACTATGAACCACTAGAGTAGATTTCTATAGCTTAAGTTTACTATGTATGTTTTTTTAAGTTGCAAAACTCTTTATTTTAAATTAAAGTAGGCTCAAAGGTAGATGTGATGTCATGGTAGCATTCTTTACATACTCTTCCCTTGTGCATGTTTACCTAATGACTCCAGCTAGCTTACCAGTTCTTTTTTTCAAATTAGCAGTCCAGTCCATGTGCAGTATGAATCATAATGACCATAAACACACAGACAAACACAAACGCATGTTACTGATACACAGACTGTGACTAGCGCTCAGCAATACCACAAATCTGTTTTTGTTGATGTTCGTCTGTCTCTGGGGCTTTGGTTTCCTCACATCGGAAGATGATTAAGTCCTGCAACAATTACTTATTCTGAATCACTTTTCTGGCAAGTATGCAAAGAGCTTTTGTGGGGCCAGGGTAAAAGGTTAAAAATCTCAGCTGTTGTAACGTTGTGATTGACACACAAGACAGGCTAGCCGCTAAGGCAAGGTAGTGACAGGTAGCACAGGTGAACATCCTCTCTGCTAGTGTGGACCTGTAAAGACCTGCCAGCAAAGCCTCAAGTGGAAAAACAATGTTGCCGGGCTGCTTTTGATTTACTGTCTGCTCTCCATGCCACCCTGTCTGACTTACAGTTTTCTGTACTTCACCTTACGAATGTTCTAAACGGTCATGAACACATATCCCTCGCTGTGTGGGACTATAAACAGTCCTAGGTGACAGGGTTGAGTGAGCAGGGGAAGATTACCGGCCACCCAGAACTTCCCCTGCCCTGCGGCCCCCCACCGGAAGGTGACAGATCCACACTCTGTTGTTCATGGTTACAGAGTGTTGCTGTGGCATTTCCAGGGAATCCTTTGGGGACCTGAGGTGGGACAATAACATCCTACGGTTTATGGCATTAGGAGCCAAACTGAGGGAAGTAGGGTAGCTACTGGTGTGTGTGTGTGTGTGTGTGTGTGTGTGTGTGTGTGTGTGTGTGTGTGTGTGTGTGTGTGTGTGTGTGTGTGTGTTGTGTGTTGTGTGTGTGTGTGTGTGTGTGTGTGTGTGTGTGTGTGTGTGTGTGTGTGTGTGTGTGTGTGTGTGTGTGTGTGTGTGTTGTGTGTGTGTGTGTGTGTGTGTGTGTGTGTGTGTGTGTGTGTGTGTGTGTGTGTGTGTGTGTGTGTGTGTGTGTGTGTGTGTGTGTGTGTGTGTGTGTGTGTGTTGTGTGTGTGTGTGTGTGTGTGTGTGTGTGTGTGTGTGTGTGTGTGTGTGTGTGTGTGTGTGTGTGTGTGTGTGTGTGTGTGTGTGTGTGTGTGTGTGTGTGTGTGTGTGTGTGTGTGTGTGTGTGTGTGTGTGTGTGTGTGTGTGTGTGTGTGTGTGTGTGTGTGTGTGTGTGTGTGTGTGTGTGTGTGTGTGTGTGTCAGGGTGACTGGAAGGTTATCCTCCTGTTTCCCCTCAACACATTTGCAGGATCCTTATAAGGACGACTAGGACAGGGGTGAGCTGTAGGCTTGGATGGACCCTGGAGCCTTTTTGAAGTTTTGACCATTCTTGGAACACGTCATTACTTGACATTTTGCGGCTGAGTTTTGAGACTGCCTCCCCCACACCACTTATCTCTTTATGACCACTGTGGAAATTGACTCACTTATTTTTTTGTGACCCTCAGAGAGGTTAGAAGATCTAAATATTTGTGTGTTCAGTTCTCGGTAAAGCGTTGGTCACAGCAACCGCAGGTTAGAGGATGTTATAAAACAACAATACAAGAAAAACAGTATTCAAAAGGAAAGTAGTGCATGAATAAATTAAATAAATACTTACATTTTTTGCCTAGCTTTTCTGTTAAAAACAGCATTTCGTTGTATACAGCAAAACATATTTTTGTACTTAAATCCAGTGTACAGGACTTGTGTTGGAGTACTTCCCCAGACAGTGTCTCACGAGAGTATAAACATGCCCCGGTCTGCTGAGCATGTTCACACGAGATTATTATTCATCTGAAATAGTACATTAACAAAGCCCTTAATATTTTGGGATTCTGTGTATTTATTTAGGGAATTAAGGGCCAGACTGTGTGTGGTTTTGTGATTTTAGCTTTACTTAAGCGTGTGCTGCTCAGCTTTGACCAGCACACACATTCAAAATGTAGACGTATCATTTATAAAATACTTTGATAATCATCCACTCTTGACAGTACCCCGTACAACTAAAGCAATAAGTCAATCAAAATGAATAATAGGCAAAACTTTTGATAATCAGTTGCTATTTTAAAGTCATGTGAATAAAAATGAGGAAAAGGTCAATAATTCACTACTTCCAGCTGGTTTCAACTTTCCTTAAAATAGGTGCAATTCTTAACTTTTCCTGACATTGATTATCTTAATGACTTATTGAGATACATCTGTTATGACATTTAATTTTTTTGAAAAATGTAATGAATCTGTCCCTATACTTGTCCTAATGTTGGATTTACTTTTTGAACTAGTGTCTCTCTCTTGCCACAGCTTCCTTATGTATTCATCTATTTATTTGTCCAGGTAATGGCTGTGGACATTCCCTTCTGGGCACAGAGTCGGGCACATTGGCCTCTCAGAACTACCCGGGAACGTACCCCAGTAACACCTGGTGTGAATGGAGGCTGCGGGTGCCAGAGGGGCGCACGCTGCGGCTGCTGTTTGGGGATTTCGACATCGAGAGCAGTCCAGACTGCAGGAATGGCTCTCTGGTCATCACAGACAAGAGCGGAGAGCTCACTCTGGGTAAGCTTGTTCACCGCTGATTGGATATGGCACTTTTTTTTTAAGCTTCGCCGGTAGATGTCTGATCCCTGTGTCTACAGACTACTGTCTCCTGTGTCGATTATTTCCTGAAACACCTGCTTATAGACTTTTAATGTTCCATGTCTTTATTACTGATGTCCTCCCAGCGTGATTGTGGATCCACACAGAGCATGCCATTCTTTTGACACATTGACAGAAGAGGCAAACCCAATTTCCCAACAGACGCATGCCCGTTCTTCAACCAGGTGTATCAAGTCGTGTCTCGAGGGCATGAATATTTGACAAGACACCAAAATAAAGGCTGAGAGATTCAGAGAGAGAAATTATCTGCTGTGCTGCCTTTGTGTTTTATTATCGGATTCCTGATACCTGGCTCATGATTTTCATGTAGTTTTCTCAGACGGAGAGCTGTTCTTACATGCATCTACAAGGCTCTGCTCTTCATTAAACTGTCGTGTCTGTATGGGAGGCAAACATGGCAGGAAGCCACGAGGGGAATTAGACTGACTAGTGAAAGGAAATGCTTTATTTCCCAGTAGGGTCCTTATCAAAATATTATCAGACACTTATAAAAACCATCTGTGCCTGTCATTGCCAAAAACAAACATTTAAAGTTTAGAGTTGTGGTGTTGAATTTCCCCAAGCCATTACATTACAGCCTGTTCAGATGCTGCTGTTTGCATATGGAAGCAAATAAGAGACAGAATGATTTGAATGTTGTCAGACACCGAATTTATAGCATTGAAATATTTTACTTTGAACACCATGTTTCTGATTTTTTTTATTCCGAATTTACCTATGTGAAATTCAAATCTGAAATATCTTGATACGCAATTTAAAAAGCTGAATTTCAATGTATGTTGTTCAGTGTTCACAAATTCAGATCTCAAAATTCAAGTTTTAATATTTCAAACTAAATATATTCAGGTTGCTCAAATTCGAATGATCAAATTCAGATCTAACATTTCAAGTAAAACAAATGTTAATGGTCAAATTCGGTGCTTCGAATTCGACGTCCAAAATTTCGAGGGCGCAGCGTTCTCTTTCTATACTAAACCAATTTCACAAAGTTGTTGTCTCTCTAACACCCGTCCACACGGCAGCGTGCGTTGCTTCAACGGAGACGCTTCCCATTCACTTTGAATGGGGTGACGTCAGGCTTTGCCGAACTGCATTGTGGTTCCGTCGCTTTGCCTCCGTTGCTCGCTTCAAAAGTTGAGAAAAGTTCAACTTTTCAAGCTTTGACGGAAGTGTCAGCCAATCAAATCATATGCCAGTACAAGCGCTAGCCAATCAAACCGCGTGCTTGTGTGTCCGGGGCGGGAGATTAATGTGATTGGCTGTTGGTCGTGCGCCAGACACGCCCACCGGCAAGCTTCAACGCACGCTGCCGTGTGGACGTACTGTTACCTGGACACTAGCTCTCATGCCTTTATTGGTTAGAGCTCCAACACATTGTACGTGATAAGGGGCGGGACATCAGACAAGCGGTTGACCAATCACAACAGAGCCGGCCAGCTAACCAATCAGAGCAGACTGGGCTCTGGTTTCAGACAGAGGGTGAAAAGAGCTGCTGCAGCATGAGAAAAATAAAGAGCTTTTTTTACACAAAAGCATGTAAACAGGTCACATTAGCCGCACACAATACAAATGTGAATCGGAAAACTACAATATTAGAGCCTTCTGTAAATGATCTACATCTGTTGATAAATGCTGAAAAAGGGACTAACTGTATTGCACCAGGATGTAGTTTGCTGTTTGTATCTGTGTTTATGTTATTTTACAAATGTAGTTTATGTCTCTGCGTTCCCAGGTCCAGTGTGTGGGAAGCTCGATGCATCACAGAAGAATGTGACACTTAAAAGCAATGAAGTGACGATAACCTTCAAGTCAGGCCCTCATCGCTCCGGGCGAGGGTTCCTCCTGTCCTATGCCACTGACCAGTATCCAGGTAACACATCTGTTTATTATGAAGCCAATAGACCTGACCTGTTTGGCAGTACTCAGACAAGGGAACTGCAACACAAAGTGCTTCCCCTTACACGCACTATAAATTAAACACTAAATAAATAAATAAGCATTTACTAGGAATAAAAACAGGAACTTAAGATACGCTGTTATAAATCTCAATATACAGTGAGGAAACACCAGTCAGGGTTAGACATAGATAAAAACATGGACTTGGTATATATCTACATATACCAAGCAGAAAAACAGATTGAATTATTAAATAATTAGGCCAATACAAGTTATACATAACTAAAAAGTTTAAATACAATTCATTAGGCAAATTAAATACAGAGCTCAATTCAAAGCTAGACTAGGTAAAGACCATGATGCAACTTGATCAAACCATCCGCGGTGACAAATATCATGACTGCCATCAAATATCATGACGCCATCACCATCACTAAACCTGTCCACAGACATCTGAACACACTCCTTCCTCAGACCACGCCCATCCTCAATGACCCTCATTTTCTTCAATTAGTACTGTTCTAGCTTAGCATGTGGAGCTCAACTTTACACATGCCTGATTTATAACGAGTCGGATTTCTCAGCTTTGCTCATTTACAAGTTGACACTGGTGTAATTATATCACCAATGTCCGTGTGAATATGTGTCCTTGTGTAGTGTGTGCGTTGTGCGTTTGTAAGTTGTGAGTCACTTCTTATTGGCATTCAGCCTCCATGGCTGTCTTTGCTCTGGCCTGTTTGCTCATAGAGCTGGAGGAGACTCCTTCTCTCACGCTGAATGGAGAGAGGCCTCTGGCTTCAGTCTGTCTCTTGGAGGGGCTAGGTTTTTTATTTTCCCTCCCCCTCCTCTTCATCGGACCATTAACACTACAAGCCCGCTACCATCCCATGTTTTTTGCAACCCATAGGCTGTTGATTTATCAGTTATAAACACCACATATTATTACTCTCTCTACTAATGCAACAGATTATTGTAATGTGTACAGACACATGTTTTAACGTCTCTTGATTTTCTCATTAAATTAGAAAAGTCACATTTCTTTATGTGTATCATGTTAATGATCATGTGGACTTGTTTGGTCTGAATGTTAGTTTATAGTTAGAGATCATTTCCTTTCCCCTGTATGAAGTTATCCGTACTGTACAGTATGTATCATCATTTCCTGTTTGTCCCGAGTTGTTTATGAATCCCTCAGTGTCTGGAGCTAAGCCCATGCTCAGACATACAAACCACTGTCTGTTAATTGTGATCACACGAGGCCCATCCACTGTACTCGTGAACTGTGACGGAGTCAGAAACAAAGGGCTTAGTCACATCCACAGCCATGATCCCCTAATATAGCACCCGTGCAGCCTGCTAGAACCGTCTCACACTGAGTCCGTCTGTGCGTGGTGGACAATTATGTAAGCCTAAATTACTGGATCCCACAACATACTATTCCAGTCCACCAATACATATTTAGGCGATGTTTTCTAAGTTCTCAGGAGTGTTCATTTGAATATATCTATGTCTGTTTTGCTGTTGCAGATCTAATTTCCTGTTTGAAACGAGGATCTCATTCTAGCACACATCTTTTGAGGTAACCTTTACATTTCCCTTAATAGATTGTGTTTTAGTAGATCAGTGATATGTTTCTCACGTGTTATTCTGTTGCTTCTCAGTGTGTACTGCCCCGCTGGATGTAAGGATGTCACAGGGGATGTTTGGGGAAACTCGGAAAAGGGTTACAGAGATGTAAGTAAACCACATTTATATATATATATATGAGGGGGAAAAAAATGAGCCCAAGTTATTAATGAACTTCATGTCCCCCTCTGCTTTAGACCTCAGTCCTGTGCAAGACTGCAGTCCATGCTGGAGCTGCGTCTGACACTCTGGGAGGGCGAGTCACTGTGAACCGAGGGAGGAGTCTTACACTTTATGAATCAACCTTTTCCAATGGAATCCTTTCAAAAACGTGTGTCTACTGTTATTGTACTCAAAATGAGATATTGCTGTAATGTTAAACTGGCTGTTATGAAGCTCAAAATGAGTTAATGCTTGATTTCACATGGATGCACTGACCTTTTCAACTGTTCTCTTTGACAGGGGATCATTATCTGAAAAGAAGTTGCTCTTCAGTCAAGGTATGACATGACATTTATCACTTTTTGCTGTTAGAATTTTCCAAAGGCACACCAAGTATTTCTGCGAATTTTAACCCATTTGCTACAAGCTACACATTGTTTACATTCCTGCAGTCAAATGTTCAAGTCATGCTGTCATATTTTATTGTTTTATCCAAGTGATTTTACAAAATGAACTTCTTGATTCATCACAGTGAAAACTAGTCTGCAAACAAATGCTCTGCAGTGAAGAACTCATGATTCGTAGTCAATTATGTTTATCTAAAAACACTCTGGGTTAAATAATGAATTACTTTTATTTATTAATATTTTCCTCTGCTTCCCAAACAGAATGCAACAACATCCTGAGTGTCTCCGGTTTAAATGCCTCATCTTTCTGGGATAAAAACAGTCGAGAGCACACACTGTTCTGGTCCTCATCAAACATGATTTCTAGCCATGAGTCCCTGCTCTGGGCAGCGGACGGTAACGACCCGAACCCATGGGTGGAGCTGGGGCTGAGTGATAGAAGCACCATCACAGGTACAAATGTTTGAATGAAATAATCAGTGCAAAATATGTTTATTAAAACATCTGAATGCGAAGCTCTTTGGAAGATATGTCTGCCGATATTTTTTATTTTAACAAATTCCATGAAAAATAACGATTTTTCTGTTCAACTGAAGCCTGGTTAGCAGGATGTTATTGTTCTGTGTCAATGACTTCCGTTGTTGTCCTACAATAATTAAAAACACATCAATGGTTGACTTCCCTAAGTCATATATACATGGCAACAGTCATTAATTATTAGTCAACCCCACATATACTTTCCCAGTGCAGTAATACAAAATATGTATTCACCTCACTGTTCCCCAACAAACACACTATTGTTTACTATTTGAATAATGTTTGATAGGAAAATGTATTGTGGAAATATTCGTGATTTTTCAAAAAGTGGAACTTTATATTTGTGACCTGTTTCTGTCAGTAGTAGTAACCAATATGCTTGGAGACATTGCAACATATGAAGGTTAAATGAAGGTTACATGCACACCAAGCCTTAATTAGTAACATTCTTCCAAAATTGTAGCTTACTACATCGCTCTCTTTTACACTATTTTCAACACTTGCTTTTCTTGTACCCACACAATGTACTGCTCACCATCAAAATCAGCAAATAAAGTCCCGAAGCTAAACTATCCATGGTTACTTCTCTCTGTCCGCTGCCAACATTCTCTTTATTGAAAATGTTTAGAGCCTGACCTTATTGATGGAACAGAAAACAAATCAGTAAAAAACAGAGTCTTTTCATTCAGTGGCCTTTTTCAGACAAGGTGGAGAAGTCTTAAAAGTACTGAGAGCACAACACACGTGCTGTTTTCATGGGAGATGGATACTTTAAATGTTTCCGTTGGCTAAAATGTTTACAAAAATGTGTTTTTTGATATTGGATATTTTGTGGTATGTTTTATCTCATGCAAGGTTGTGTTCTGATTCTTTAGGAATAATAACAACGGGATCAAACGAATACTACATAGAATCCTTCAGTCTTTTTTTCAGCAAGGACAGGAAAACTTGGAAGCTTTACAAAGGTGCTCTCAGCAAAGAAAAAAAGGTATGCCTTGTACCATGCTCACCTAAATGGTTGGTACTGAACTGAGTCTGTACTCCAGGCTTCCTGCTGTTCTCTGTCAATAAGTAACTTACTGGTTGGTCCCCAGGTGTTTCAGGCCTACACTGACGGCCATCACAGAGTCCTCAACAGTTTCTTCCCTCCTGTGTTGGCTCGGTTTGTCCGGCTGCAGCCGCTGAGCTGGCAGGGGCGCGCTTCCGTTCAGGTGCAGGTCCTGGGCTGTCCCGTTGCCAAGGCCACCCCAAGGTCACGCCCACCTGCTGGTGTGTATTACTACTTATCAAGAACCAGCTATCACATGAGCTCTCTAAGCTGTGTGAGGTTGTGTCTGATTTTCTACTATCCTACTTTTACAGCAGAATCTCCACCCATCAAAGTTAATATGGGCACACCGCGGCCCACCCTCCCCCCGACCCCCACAGAGGGCCCAGTGTTAGTGGAGACAAGACTAAGTATGTACATGTATCATTTTTTTATTTCACATGTGTACAATTCAAATACACGCCAGTCTAGTTAAGAAGAAAATACATCAGATAAGTAAAAACAATGTTATACGTTCTTCTCCCACTCCACATTGTGTACATTGCAATAAAAGGCATTCCTTGCTCTCCCTTATACAACTGTTTACTCACTCGGACACTTGTGTCCCTGCAGGCTCCAGCCAGCCGGTGATAGTGGCCGTGGGAGTGGTGCTGGGGCTGATAATGTGCGGCAGTTGTTTGATGGCTGGGGTCTGGTGGAAGCGAAGGTACTGTATTTTAAAACCGTTGACATTTTTCACAGTTATCTTATTTCATACTCAGTTTGCAAACTCTCTGACCGAAATGGATTTATAACACATAGAATAATGTCACTACTTATGAACCTGTTTCAGGTGGAGGGAGTCTTTTTTAGGCTTGCATAATCACAATTTGAAGAAATCAGTCCAAACATTTGGTTAATAGGGGGGTTTTTCATATCAATGATATTTATTTGTTTCACACATGGGAAAACACTAGTCCCAAATGCCCAAAGACAATATTTAGTATGATAAGAAAATGGCCGTATCTGAGAAACTACTGCGAATACAATCAAGTATTAAGTATATAAGCTCATAACAAGTTGAATATACTTAGTCAAAATATAAAAATATCATATTAAAATGCATTTAATAAACACAATGTTTGCATTTTCTTCTTTTACTATAAATAAAAGTGTGAGTTTTCATGGTATCTAAGTTGTACTGTGAGATTCTTCCCCAAATAGTCCGTGACGGATTTCTAGACAGTTTTCTTACCATACTACTATATAGATTGGGCACAAATGGACACTCGAGTAGTCAGGGACTGTATGTGCAATACTTTAACTATTGTTTTTATCTTTTTCACCTAATAGGAAAAAGGATTCACAGCTGAAGTACTCCTTACCCACCAGTAAGTTAGTTGCTCTTCTAATAATTATTATTATTTTAAACTTCCTTTAAAAGCCTCTAACTGTGTGTTTGTGTGTCTAGCAGGTTGTCAGAGTTTCCAGGCTAAGAGTCTCTCCTGCCCGCAATCAGAGCTCATCTCTTACCCTCTGGAGAGAAACGTCCATGATGCTCTACCTAGCCCTCCTCTTAATGGTGAGAATTCATAGGAAAACGTTTTATTTCTCAACAGAAGGCGGCAGTGTGTCAGTAAAACGCCTTGCTATTATCAGCTAGCTGCTTCCTTTTTGCCAGTCTTTCCATCGCCTTTTCATCGTTTATTATTGATCTCAAGTGGTGATCTCTGCCATCTTTCCTCCACTAACAGTCTCTGGCCTCAGTGGTCAGTTTGACAGCAAACAGCTCTCTCCACGGGCCGTCCATTCTTTCCCCCGGCTCAGCCTATCACCCAGATGCAGTATAAACATTCCTTTCTTTGGTCCACAGAGCCTTTCTGAAAGAGACCCTTTAATTGGAGCTTGATAAATGGCGCTCAGCTCCCCCCCCTCCCTTACCACCACCAGTCCCCCTCTCTGCCTCCCCCGTCCCCTCCCCCAGCGAGGGGGCACTTCACTGAGAGGTCCAGCGATAAACAGGACACAGGGTCAAAGCTAAGACAATCAAAGCCCTCACTGAGGCCCGCCTCATTAAAATAGCTGCAGCTCTGAGGCTCCCTGGGCTCTTGAGTAGGGGTCTAGGCCTCCCACACCATAGCCCCTAAGCCCGGGCAGAGAGCAGGGTCTGGTCACACTGTCGGCCCCCGTCCCTGTGATTAGAGGACACATTGTCGGTGGCCAAGTAGCTCAGACAGAGGCGCAAAACTGGCCAAGTGTGGGACTGCCACTGAGAAGAAGATTAGCATTTCCCAGGAAGTGCGGCGTAATATGCAAATAAGCAATTCATTCAAACGTTTTTCCCATCAAGACAGGATTATGCTATGCAACAAAGTGAGTTTTCAAACCCATTTAATGAGGTATAAGTGGGGATTCTCCAATATGTTATGATTACTGATATTTCCTGCCTATATTGGCTGATATGCATTTTCTATTGGAGTCTTGAAGATAAAGAAATGCCAGTTTGAAATGTGCAGACGTTAATTATTGACCTTAGTAAGGCATACATTGAAAAACCTTCAATCTTATGGTTTACTTATTTACTATCCTGAGGTTTGGGAGAAGTAGTAAAACCTTCAGTTGTGTTAATGAACAATTACAGGCCCATATCAAAACCTACCATTTCTAGGTAAAATCATTGAAAAAGTTGTTTTTCAACAGTTGAGTAATTTTTTGCATTTAAATAGTTGTTTCGATGTGTTCCAGTCAGGCTTCCGTCCAAACCACAGCACTGAGACTGCTCTTGTAAAGGTCTTCAATGACATCCACTTAAACACAGACAGTGGCAGAACTTCAGTGTTAGTATTATTAGATCTCAGTGCTGCGTTTGACACTGTTGACCACAACATATTACTAGACCGACTGGAAAACTGGGTGGGACTTTCGGAAACAGTTCTAAATTGGTTTGAATCCTACTTAAAGGACAGAAAAAACTTTGTTTCTATAGGTAAATACACATCTGAGTTGACAAATATGACATGTGGGGTTCCTCAAGGCTCCATCTTGAGGCCTCTTCTCTTTAACATCTACATGCTACCACTGGCTCAGATAGTGAAAAACAACAAAATAAGTTACCATAGCTATGCAGATGACACATACATTTACATAACAATTTCACCAGGAGACTATGCTCCAATTCAAACACTGAGTAAGTGCATTGAACAAATCAATGACTGGATGTGTCAGAACTTTCTCCAATTAAACAAAGATAAAACTGAGGTAATGGTTTTTGGAGCCAAGTCAGAACGTATAAAAGTTAGCGCTGAGCTTCAGTCTGCAATGTTCAAAACAACAGATAAAGCCAGAAATCTAGGTGTAGTCATGGACTCTGACCTGAGTTTCAACAGTCACATTAAAACAGTTACTAAATCAGGCTATTATCACCTAAAGAACATATCTAGGATTAAAAGACTAATGTCACAGCAGGATTTGGAAAAACTTGTCCATGCTTTTATCTTCAGTAGACTGGACTACTGTAATGGTGTCTTCACAGGTCTCACTAAAAAATATATTAGAAAGCTGCAGCTAATTCAGAACGCCGCTGCTCGAGTCCTCACTAACACTAAGAAAGTGGATCACACGTGTGTGTTGGAGGAGGGGCTCTGTAAGGAAGTGGCAGATTTGTTCCGGCTGTGTATTTTCAAATTCTAGCGCACTCGAGCTGGTTTCTCCAAAATGACCTACCCCACCTTTAAGTAAATATTGCTACAAAGTAAAAAATGTATAAAACAAACAAATATCGGATACATTTGTCTCCGTTTCAGTGATTTAGGCAACATTTAGCTTTTATGTACAGTTAGATAAGACTATTGATTCCACTCTAATATCTTCCTGTTTTATATTCACACAAGGATGCAGCCAGTAGCTTAGCACAAAAAATGGAAACAGGGGCTAACAGCTAGCTAAGTTCTGTCCAACAGTAACGGAGCGTCCACACTACAGCTTCAAAAAAAGCTTGGAGCTGGGCGTGTCTGAAGCTTGGGGATTTTATTCAAGCAACGCGACCAACAACCAATCACATGAATCTCCCGCCCCCGACCTACAAAGCAAAAACCCCCGGGGATTTTATGGGAGCAATATATATATAAACTCCCCAAACAGGCGAAAACCTACCAGTTTCACCCACTGTCTCTGCCCTCCATGCCTGGTTCCTCCGGTTTATATCCCGGTAGGTGAAGAGGGTCTGGTCATACAAAACCGGGTGATTTGCTACGGCGATAATTAGTTTCTCCTCCATCTTTTTTTTAAATATAGAAATGAACGACGGGATATCTCTCCCAGCTTAGACGCGGTTTGATTGGCTATGGCTTGAGCTGTCAGATTTTCCGAAACGGGATTTGATTGGCTGGCGCTGGCTACTCCGGCGTCTCCGGCGGAGACGGACCGCTATGCTACCCACAATTCAGTTCGGCGAAAAAGCGAGGCAATGTGACGTCACCCCATTCAAAGTGAATGGGCAGATTGAAGCTGTCGACGCTGTAGTGTGGACGGGCCGTAACAACATCCACATCTCTCCAATATACACTGATACATTTTTTTATGTTTCTGATGTTTCCCATGACAATGTTTGTCGCATCCCAAATTAATAGAAATTAAAATATCCTTTTATATCCATCCAGACTATGCAGAGCCTGCTGTTGCTGCTATTGGACAGAAGATCGGGTCTACATTCAGACCCTCCTCAGACGAAGGCTACACCACGCCCTTCGCCTTCAACCATTATGACACTCCTGTCAACCTGCCGGAGTACGCCGAGCCCCTCCCCCCAGAGCCAGAGTACGCCACCCCGTTCAGTGAGCAGATCACCGAGTGCAGCCTTCTGGCTCACAGCCATACACACACACCTCTCACACCAGCACCCAGCACTGGCCCCAGGACGTCTCCCAGCCGCTCTCAGTACGACTGCCCCTCACACAGGGTGCTGTCCAACGGCTACTGCACTCCGGCCCTGCATGCCAACGGCCCCCGGCCCGTCAGTGTGGTGTACGCTGAGCCAAAGTCATGTGACACTTTACTACAGAAGCCCACATATGAAGAGCCTTTGTGAGCTCAGACATGGAAGAAAAAAGACTCTTCTGAGCTAAACCGTGATCTGGAGTGGACACTAAGATGGACAGTGTTGTCCAGAGAGAACTCATGCTGACAGAGCTGAACTTCCTGTGAGGGATGTATCCGAAGCTGGGAAGTCACTTAGGAGCACAATGCACATACAAGGGTGCACAAAGATCTGAGAACCATATGCAAACAAATATTTCCTTCCTGGAAGTATGTTGCGGAAGTATACCGTGATGCACAAAGAAAACGCAGGCTCAGTGGCGTCGCACTCAGAGATATTGAAATGTTTAATCACCAGCTGCACTTTCAGAAAACACATACAGCAATGTCTGCCTCAGTGTGTTTAACAGGTTAATGCAAACAGAGTGAATTGATTATGTTACTTGTTCTCACTAAACATAGTATTCACAATGTATGATTTGTACATGTTTTGCAAAAGAAACAGCATTTAAGAAGCACTGTAAATGGAACACTAACAGTGGTTCATATTGTTGCTCTGATGAAGAATAACCACTAGAGGGCTCCCTTGAGCTTTAAACAGTAATGAGTTGTTTTACTCATCCACTGTTTCTCACTCCTCAGATATGTGTCCTCCATTTATAAACATAAATAGTAACAAACATATTATTTGTTTAAATAAATGCTTTTAGTATAACACAGAAAGGCACAACAACCCTGTGTCCTGACACACAACCTTAACATAAACAGTTCCAATATGTGGCCTTGTTTTTTGTCACTACAGTAATTTCATTTGACTTAACTCTGTGCTTCCTGCTTTCATTGTCTATGCCATGATGCCAAGATGTGTTCAAAGGAAAACACAGGTCTTAAACAGATAGAATTACTAAGGAACATTTAAATAAACCGATATGTCGACGCTGTTGTTCACTCTTAGTGAAAAAGAAGAAGATAGAAATGTGTCCTTTCTCCTATCCAAAGGGTTTTTATATAATAAGGGTAAGGGGACCGTGGAAGTTTGCCATTATATGTGAAAATGTAAATAAAAGAACCTCATATGTTATATCATTTTTTTGAAATTATTTTACACGTTTTGCGCTGTCACATTTCATAATGAATTGGCTTACCTCTACCACTGCTGAATAAGGCACAATAAAAAGAAAACTGTTAAGGGGAAAAACATTTCCGTAGTTGACCTGGTGTGTGATTACAGTATCAAGGTTATTTTAAAAATAGACATGAAACAAGCAACTGGATACCTCCAATGGGATCCAACGGTTTAAGGTTTGAACAAGATAATTGAACTTCTGAATTTAAGATCTACAAAATATTTGATTCAATCAGTTTTGGTTTTACAAATGAAATTAAACATCTTAATTTAGGTCTGAAAAATATGTAGTGCTATACTGTATATAACAAAGACTTTTCAAATGTAAAAGTCCGATACTTAACTATATCGCAAACATAATTCCAACACTTGTTTTTAAGAACTATTCACTCTAATGGTTGGATGTTGTTAGCCTGTTGTAATGTACCACTGTTAGGGACCCTCTTGTTTGTGCTCATCTCTACCCCCCGCCCCTCCTCCTCCCTCCCTTCAGAGGAGTAATGCATTAGAGTCTGGTGTCTGTTCCTGGACGGGGCGTCCTTAAAGCGCAGGCCACAGTCTTCACATGCGTACAGAAGCCCCCCTCTGCTGGTGCCTGGGTTTGTTTTCCCTGACTGAGATTTGCTCTCATTACCAGGATGAGCAACGGCAGAAACAGGACATTCTCTGGGATTTGTTTGTGAGTTTGTATCCAGACTGTTGGGTGTATTTAGCCCAGGAAAAGTCCTGGGGCGCCCAGGTTGACAACTACGACCTGCTGGACCTCGATCTACATCTCCAGCTCCTCCGTGTTGGGGGGCCAGCCCGTGGACTGTGCGGTGGTGGAAGCGGATCCCGGAGCGGTTGGAGAAGCCTTTGCCGCAGAAGCTGCAGATGAAGGGTCTCTCCCCTGTGTGGATGCGCATATGGGTCTTAAGAGCTCCTGACTGGGTGAAACATTTCCCGCACTGGCTACAGCAGTAAGGCTTCTCTCCTGTGTGTGTCCTCTGATGGGCCCGGACCCCTGCAAGATGGGGAAACCCCCTGCTACAAAATCCACAGGAATACGGCCTTTCGCCTGTGTGAATCCGCCTGTGGATCTTCAGAGCCCCCGACTGGCTAAAACTCTTCCCGCAGTCCGAGCAGGAGTATGGCCGGGCGCCCGTGTGCACGTTGAGGTGGATACGGAGATTGCTGTGGGAGTTGAAGGCTCTGCCACACTCTGTGCAGAGGAAGCCGGATTGTTTGTGGGCGTGCTCAGAGCACTGGTGCTGCAGCAACTGGGACGGTCTGGAGAAAGAGGCAGAGCAGTGCATGCAGGGATGCAGCGACAACATGCTCGTAGGCGCCCGTCCTATTTCTTCTTGTTGCTGAGTGTGTGTTTGTCTGTGCTGGTGGGGGCAGGGGGGGGAAGAGCGCTGGCAAGGCAAGCAGGGGAAGGGGCCGGAGAGCTGAGGGCAAGGTAAACAAGACGCTATAGGACAGTGGTTGTGATGAAAGGGATGATAGCTGTGAGGAAAACGGGAGTCAGTGCCTTCCTGGTGGCTCAGTATGTGGGTACAGGTTTGCGGGCGATGGCAACACAAGCAGGGAAACAAGGAGGGGTGGGACACGGGGCCCAAAGACCCTCTGGAAGGAGGAGTCTGGTCCGGGCTGTGAGTGTCTGCCCCCTCCGCCTGTGGCCGGCTGGACCCCCTGGTCTCCAGATCAGGTGTGGTGCTGCTGGGTTCACTGCTGAGGCTCATTGGAGCAGTCCTGCGGAGGTCTTTGGGGGGGCATACTGCATTAGAGCGTGGGGGTGAGGACATGGATTGTCCAGGTTTTAAAGTATCAGAGGAAGAAGGAGAAGTGGAGTATGGGCAGCCAGGACAGGTGCATGTGTTACGCACATCTGGACGTATAAAGAAATATGAATTACAATATAATAAACGCAAGAACATTATAGAAACCATAATTTTGAGCTCTTACCTTCTCTTCTGTCTTTGGCCGGCTCTATCTTCCTCTGTGATGCCCCAGACTGGAGCTGTCTGCTGGGCTCTGATTCTGACTTGTCCTGGGCAGATGGAGGTTGTTGTGGAGGTACAAGTGAAGCATCTTTGAACTGTAGACCCTCACCTCCACCAGCAGTTGCAGCAGCAACGCCCCATGCTGTGGTAAGCACATCTGGTTGATCCTTCAAGAAGTTTCCAGATGTGATAAGGTCACCAATGAACTGATGCATCTCCATCCAGGAGCACGGAGCACGCTGCAAGAAGTACAAGGCACAGCTGAGAGTCTGAATGCATTTTCAAGATTCAAGGCTTTATTGTCATGTGCACATTAGCTACAGTGTAGATATGGCAATGAAAAACTTAAGTCACAGGCTCCTCCAATAGTGCAACATGAATATAGGACATATAACAAATAAAACAGATACATTTAGTGTATAGATAACCAAAAGTACAACTGATTGTGCATTGACAAAGATGTATGTTGCTTAACTTTAGCTGAAACACAAGTTCCTCTCAAATGGACTGACGGGGTCTACTTACAATGTCGCTACACTTATTATTCATTTGTCCATGAATATAAACAAACGGTGTTGTCGTCCTCGGATGTACAGCTTAGCTTAAAACAACGATTTCCATATATCACACACTGAGGTTCAATGAAGGCCTAATAAAATGCACTTCTGTTTTCATATGATAACTTATCTACCGTAGCCTCCTCCCGTTTAAATCACCATTACAAACATCGCGTCACTCGGCAGCAGACTTTGTATATCCGGGTTCTTTAATCATGTGACGCGAGTTGGAGTCTTTCCATTTTTGTATTAAACAATAAATGTTCACGAGACAAAATAAACACTGATTGAATATGTAATATATTATTAATAATATTAACCACGAAGGTATTTAATCACAATAGATCAAACTACCAAATAAATCGTTATTCCAATAACATTTAGTACTAGTACTACTACTAAGTATTACAGGTAAGATGAAACAGGAACGAGGAATTTAGATCCACCGGTTAGCATCTATGAGTCTGGCAATTGGCAAAAACCATGAAGGTAAACTTGTTTATTTTTTAGATATGATCAAAGTAAAATCTGCAGACAGATATATTCAATAATCCGAATATCCGGAATAAAAAAAAGATAGAGCTCTAAAAGTTCCAAAAGGTAAGTTTTGAATTTGTGTTTGCCTCGTCTCAATCTCTATCTAGGTTGAAGATAAAATATTCAAGATAAAGGTGAGCCCTAGTAAAAGACTTACCTGACGCTGTGGATGTAGCGTCAGGTACAGGTGGATGCTGTCTTCCTGTTTAATGAGTGACACAAGGATGTCAATCAATCAATGTTTATTTATATAGCCCAATATCACAAATGTTACATTTGTCTCAGTGGACTTTACAGTTTGTACAAAATATCAGTATGACAATATGACACCCTCTGTCCTTAGACCCTCACATCGTACAAGGAAAAACTTCCAAAGAAAACCCACAGTTCAGGATGTGTTTTCGGATTAAGAATAAACGAATGTCAACAAGACACACACTGATGTTGCATCAAGGACGACTGTTTATTTGTCTTCAGAAAAACATGAAAAGATACCTGCAGGCTGTAAAGTTTCAGCAAATGACAAAGTGACAGAAAAGTATTGAACAGTACCATTGCTGCATTCATTAAATAGTACACATTGTCTATATAAAGAAATGTTTTTTTATACTAAAAAAAAATCCAGTGTCTTTTCTTTCAACTATACACACATTCATTAACCTAAGGATTTCTCACACAAAAACAAGTACGGAAAAAAGGTAGAAATTGGAAGTGTTTACATTGCATAGACTTCAGAACAGCTACAGTACCCTTTTGCTCCGTTGGCCTAAGGGAAACGCTTCATATGGAAATTCAAATAAAAGGAATGCCAGAAGAGGCAAGCGTTTGGAATGTTTTTTATTAATTATAAATAAACTAAAATATTTATTTTTCTAAGGTCCCGCAATAGAAACACTAATAGTGAAAGAATATGACAAAAAATGCTTTTGCATACAAGGTTGATAAGGTAAGAAAAGGGGGTTGGATGGTAGAAAAAGGGATTAGACAGAAAAGCATACAATGTTAGCATAACACCTCCATGTTTGTTTTGCAGGGCCACAGGTACAGCAGTCTGTTGCAGAATTTAAACACACCCTCCAGTAGGATATGTGACAACTCTTTTTATTTTCCCCTTACCAAAATGTCAAATTTCTCTACATCAGCAGTTTCAAATATCAACATCCATCTTAATTTCTTTCTCAGTCAGCTGACAAGATGTGGATGATTTTGGATCTCGATCAGGACCAGGAGATTGGGGCTCTTTCTTTATGTCTATTATAAGTCCAGAGGATGTTGTATTCACCTCAAAACTGGAGAGATCCATAGGATCAATTTTAAACTGCTTCACTTCTGAATATTTCTCTTCTGGGTTTGTCTTAACAATCGCTTTGCTATAACTATTTTTTAATTCTTTTGTTTCAGTGCCATTAGCCTCTCCTGTAGAGTCCCATTCTCCTGGCTCACTTTTAGGAAGAAGAGATATGTTGCTCGGAGCTGACTTGGAAGAGTTACACTTCTTGGACAAATCCAGAGGTGCTTCACACTCGGGATTGATCCCATTATCCAAATTCAGATGGCCATTTAGCGGCACTCCGGAGGTATGCGGTAGAGCTTCTTGAGGCTGGCCCTGCAGAGCTAGAACCGGTGGTGTAGGAGAGGATGCAGACGGGAGGTTGAGGCCAGGGGTTTGAGACGCACAGACAGGAAGAAACACAACGAGATTGACGCCAGGAGGCGGCTGTTTGTCTAGGGTGAGCTTCCATAAACCGTCTGATGAAACAGAGCCACCAGACACACCAGTCAAAGGTCCTGGACTCCCAGAATGCTTCACTGGTTCAGCGGGGTTGTTTAAAACGACAGTGGGCTTTGTTTCTGGCTTTGTTGGCTTCTTTGACTC